CACACACACACACCACACACACCACACACACACACCACACACACCACACACACACAGACACACACACACACACACACACACAACACACACACACACACACCCACCACACACCCACACACCCACACCCACACCCACACACACGGCTAATTCTATTATCTCCATTTTACTAAATTGAAGTAGGGGACAGAACAGTTAAAACACATGATAAAGGTACAAAGCCAGTGATGTTTTAAGAGTGTGATGACAAGGACGGTGGTAATGACAGTCTCTCAGTCTAACGACTGTTTTTAAAACTGGGGTGTGGGAGGTGACTCAGCACTTAAGAGCACCAGCTGCTCTTCCTTCCAGAGGACCCAGGTTCAATTCCCAGCAACCACATGGTAGCAGCTCACAACTGTCTTTAGCTCCTGTTCCAGGGGATCTGACACCCTCACAGAGACATATATGCAGGCAAAACATTAATGGACATAAAATACAAATAATTTTTTTAAAGTTTATTAGAAAAAAAATTTTTAAAAATTGAGGTGTGATTGGCTATGGTGATGAATGTGTTTAATCCCAGTACTTAGGAGGCAGAGGCAAGCAGAGGTCAGCCTGGTCTACAGAAGGAGTTCCAGGACAGCCAGGGCTACATAGACTCTGACAGAAACAACAAAATAAAACAAAAGGTGGCTAACGATAAAAGACAACTAGTGTCAACCTGTGTGGCCTTCAAATAGTTCACATACATGTACTTCTGTATGTACACACGCACACCATACACACCCCAGATACATAACCAGAAATGGCCCTGTTAGGCCAGAGAAATTATCTTAGGGACCTGACCTTTGTGTGAACAGTCGCGACTTCCCACTCTTACTTTAGTTTTACAGGTACAGGCCATATTCACAGAAGTATTTTCCAAACAGGCAGGGGGGAGGTGAAGGGCCTGGGAGGCGAGGGCTGGGCAGGGGCAGCATGCTGCATGAGGGTGGACGTGTAGACGACAGTACGCTGGGTGAGGCAGGTGAGTGTAGGGTGAGGGGTCAGCGTAAGAATCCCGGCGGGGGTGGGGTGGGGGTGTCTCTGAAGTTAAGCGCATTATATTGCTCTTCCAAATGACCAGAACTCGTTCCCAGCACCCGGGTTAGAGGACTCACAGCCTGTAGCTCCGGCTGACTTGGAAGGCACTTTCACTTATGGGCAAATCCACGTATACATAAATAACATTTAAAAATCAGTCCTGGCCCCACTCATTGCTCTGACTGTTCGGATCTTTGACCTCGCCAGCATTTCTCCATGGCTGACATGGGTTGAGAACTTTTAACGAAAATTGGTTCAATGAGCCAGAGGCCAGGGCACAACACTTAACACAGAGGTGGGTGGCACTGGAGGCTGGGCACACACAGGAGGAGCCTCCGTTCTGTGGGGCCATCCTCTCAAGGGGACACAGCTGCCCTCAGCTGGGAGTGAACCCGGGGCCGTCCTTCCTGGCACCTGTGGGCTCTGCCTCCGAGCCAAATCCCCAGCGCTGTTTCTCTGGGAGCTAACAAACTGCCTACCCTCTTCCATTCATTTCCCAAGACTAACTTGCATGGCATGTTGGTCAAATGACAAAGACCACTCCAGTTCAGAAGCCCTTGGATTCAAGTTTTTTCGTTTTTATTATTTTTTTTGTTCTTTTTAATGTCATGCAATATTTCACAGTCCCAAGCCCACGTTTTTCAAACAAGATAGGAAAAAAGAAAAAAAAAGTTTTTAAAAAGATAAAGGAAAAAAAAGAAGCAAGGGAATCGGTGGTGGTGGTAAATTTTTCTCTTTTTTTCTTTTGTTATTTCAAGCAGGACCAAATGTCAGAAAAAAAAACGTTTTTCTCATTTTTTTTGTCCTTTTAAAAACCGTTAGTGTTATTTTCTTGTAGTTGATCTCTGCAGGCAGTAATAAGTTTGGCGCGGCCCGCAAGCACTCCCGTGGGTCGGAGAAGTGTGTGGGGCGTGCAGCCGTCCCTCCGGCTTGCAGCCACCTCGATTTCGTTCACCGGGAAAACAAAAGATTCAATTGAGATGATAAAACTCATCAATAGAAGCTATTTTTGTTTTTCTCCCCGGTTTTCGGTTTTAAAAATGTTATTGTTTATCATTGGCTGGGGGGC